TGAGTGTGTGGACAGGTGTCTTTTATACAGGTAATGAGTTCAAACAGGTGCAATTAATACAGGCAATGAGTGGAGGATAGGAGGGCTTCTTAAAGACAAACTAACAGGTCTGTGAGAGCCAGAATTCTTGCTGGTTGGTAGGTGATCAAATACTTATTTCATGCAATAAAATGGAAATAAATTATTTAAAAATCTAACAGTGATTTACTGGAATTTTTTGTAGATTCTGTCTCTCACAGTTGAGGTGTACCTACGATGAAAATTAAAGAACTGTCCATTCTCTGTAAGTGGGAAAACTTGAAAAATCGGCAGTGTATCAAATACTTATTCGCCCCACTGTATGTAGCTGTTGCTACACATAATGATTACATTAGCTTAGCATAAAGACTGGAAATGGGGACACCACTAGCCTGTTTTTTTTCTGAACGTCACAAAATCAGACTATCGACACTTGAATGCTCACTATTTAACATGTTATACTATGGTTTGCCCAACAGTTGAAATGTAAAAGCTTGTTTTACAGGGGATTGTGTACTGGATTATTTCTTGACCAGTAGTCTTGCAGCCAGTGGACACTCCAAGGAGTCACTGGTCAGTGTCAAACTTTTCAACAACTCTGTGTTTGAACTAATTAAATTCATGAGATATAAAATGTTCATTACTGAGCTTTAGAAGAGCTGATAGAGGCTACCTGTGTCCCCCTCTTACAGTCTTTGTACTAATGTAGTGTGTGGGACTTCAGAACCTGGAGACCCACAACGTTAGGAGAGAAATTAGGAGAGGAGCAAAAAACAGATATGATAAAAGTAATGTTATGTCATGATTCTACCTCTTCTGCTTCCTGTAACATGGTTTCATTCTGATACCACTTCCTGTTAAGGTCTTATTTCAGCTACGGATTCTTTACACTAATCAGTGGTAATTATTTGCACCTGTCAAGGCCCCTTTATAGTCAACTTCCTCCCGCCAGGTAAGCTGCCAGATTGTTCTATCTCATGTTCAGACTTTCCAGTGTTTTTCTTGTACCTGTTATTCCAGTTCGGACCCCGGATTGTCTTGTGACACCAGGTTCCTGCTTAACCCTTCTGATTCTGTTTGTATTCTGTGCATCGACTTATGGACTTCCCTTACTGACCATTCTTCTTGTGGATACCTTGGATTTGTGAATTTGCTGGTTCTGACCCTGAACTGGAAATATCGACCTGAGAGGGTTACGTGTTGTAACTTTTGAGACTGTGCTTTAGTCGCACTTCCTGGTTGGAACAACCATCTGGTTTCAAGTACACTCTGTTGTATCAGACTCCTGCATTGTATAGAGATTTATTGTGACCGGTGCTCTTATTAAAGAAACAGTGTTCTGCTTTTACTTGTCTGGCCTTATAATTGAGTTCACCCTCAACATTATCAGCAGCTTTACACACCGCCCCTGACATGTTATGGGAAGTGATTAAGTAACAAAGGTCAAGCATGAGGCATAGTTGGGCTCTTGCTCATGCTCTAGCACAGTGGTCCCCAACCTTTTTATCACTGCGGACCGGTCAACGCTTGACAATTTTACCGCGGCCCGGGGGGGGTTCGTGGGTCCTTTGTGGTTGGGAAGTAGCGCTCGAACTCTTTTAAAAGCAAAGACATGTGATCGTGCACCAGCTGGGAGAATGAAGACTCAGGCTCAGTGTCACCCCAAATCCCCGCTAATGTTTGAAACATGTCCAAAATGCCTCTGTTGACGCGCCGTCCCCACAAATCCAGTTTGGCTTTAAATGCAGCTACTTTATCTGTCAACTTGAAGACAGTTGTCATTTTCCCCTGAAGTGACAGATTGAGTTCATTGAGCAGGCTGAATATGTCGCACAAGTAAGCCAGTTTTGGCGCTCAAGTGACCGAGATGTAACCGAGAGAATGCGGTCATTTTTCAAAATAAAAGATCGTTCAGACTCAGATAATAAATAAAACGGAAATAATTAATGATTTCTTGTGCGGCCCGGTACCAATTGATCCACGGACCGGTACCGGTCCGCGGCCCGGGGGTTGGGGACCACTGCTCTAGCACACGTTGAGATTCAGGGAAACCTGGCTCAGCAGAGCTTCTGTAAAAGCAACTCGTAATTTGAAATACCTTTAGGGAAGCTGAGGGAAATGACCTTCACCAACCACATAAAATTGTCTATCTGAAGAGAGCAGCAAGAATCCTGGGACTGAAAGAGTTTTCAGGTTCTTCTCTTGAGTGATGTACGTATAAGCCCAGAGCTCCACCTGGAGGACACTGCCTGGCTTGTGTAATATAGACTTTCAAATTATTATCCACCAAGTTTTAAATAACTTCATATTTACAGAGCAGACATGAGAGAAGTATCAATCTTCTCATATAACTTTTGGCAAATAAACAAATAAGGCACATTTCCCAAAATGTCAGATTATCCCTTTAATCCCTGGACAACAATACGTGAGCATTTAATACAGGACGTTGTTTTTTTAGTGCGCCCAATGTCACACTCACCTTGAATAAGTGTTTTCATTTGCTGTCTCTGTTTCTCAGCATTCCTCCTTCTCATTTCCGCCCTTTCAGCCACTTCCTGTTGCTTTTCTTTGATGACGTTAAATGTCTGTTCGTCGATCTTGTAGTAACTGTTGCTGTTGTTCCACACCATTTCATCTATCTTCTCCAGCAGCAGTGTGACCTGAGATGAGTTGTTTTTTTCTTTGTTATTAAACACATGATACCTGTTGCTGCATCTTTCTATTAACCACTTGAGTGCGTCTCCCTCACTATCAATGTGCTGCTCTATTGTTTTCCCCTCAAGAAAATCCTCACAGGTGAACAGCACCAAGGTGTATCTCCACACTTGGTTTCCCAGAAGCTTCATGTGGTCCTCCACAGTCCTCCTCTGCACTTCTGAGAAAGCGATATCTATTGGGATAACAAGAAGAAAAACATGTGGTCCGGGCGGACATTTGGAGGCGTTGAGCTTAAACCTTTGCTTTTCTCCCTCTGGGATCTCTGGGAGGGAGTGAGACGTGCTCCATCCAGGAGCATCGACCACAATGAACTTCCTGCCATCCACCACTTCATGTCTCACTTCACACTGAGTTGTTCTGGTTCGGCCACACTCAAACCTCTTCTTTCTCAGTATGGTGTTTCCTGATAAACTCTTGCCACACCATCTCTCACCAATGAGGACGAGTCTGACCTCAGGCAGGGTGCTGCTGTCTTTTCCCCCTGAAGAGTTGATTGAGTTGAGTTGACAGTTGTTTTCTGGACCAGAAACACAAAAATAAAGAATAGGTTCTACCAGAATGTCATGTTTTCAATAACTTTGCCTTGATGATAATACATTTTGTCAGGTTTCTCCTCACAGGTTTTGTGAAAGAGTTACTTTTGACTTTAAGCCCTTTCATTTGAGAGACAGTTTGAAGAACAACAAGGTGGGATGAAACCCACACAATGATGCATTTTTAGAATGGCCCTGAATGGAAACAAATCATTTTGAGGCAAAATGAAATGAAGCTATAAGGAAAAAGAACAAAATCAGCTGAGATGATTCATGACTTCCCGTTGTCACTTGTGCTGTGCGAGTTGTGGTAAAAGGAAATGCAATGAGTGAGTAGACAACAGTGAAAGACTTAGTGATGCAATGCAACAATGTAATAGTTTGCGTTGTTTTTGCTGTGAACTATTTTCTTGGTTTAAAGTGGTTCAGCTGTGTGTTTAGAGGATGCACTTTATTGAGGTACTGTATTATATTAAACTACATTACATAATATTATTACAAATATTACAATAATATTTTGTCAACCTGATTTAAAAACATGCACACATATGAAAATACTGCAAACTTCAACTACATCAAAAACTAAAACCTTAGAAGTTACCATAGAGTAAAACTGTCAACAACAATATGCTATAGTTCACAAAAGCAGCCATTTTTAAGGACATTTGCATTGGAAGCATAGCTGTTTTTATTTACAAGAACTAGTGGGTGAATTTACCATAAGAGGGTGGTTCCTAACCTGAAGCAAATCAGACGTGACTTCTCAGCAGACACCAAGAATCAGGTCAGGCTGGGTTTTTTTTCCATCTGTGTGCAGGTCACATTGTGTTTCACATTCTGCCTACCAAGACTACCTGTTTTCTTTTTCTTTTTTTTTACATGAACTGACTTAATACATCAAGTAAATGTTATTTGCACATTGAATGTCACTTGAACCAGCTGATTTTACAGATCTGCATGTGGCACTAAACATCATTTAAAGTATTCTCAGAGATATACAACTACCTCCACATTTGGCTGTTGCCACAGCAAATCACTGTTCGCATGTGTACATTTGGCACACGTTTTACACCAGGTGCCCTTCCTGACGCAACCCAAACTGGGGTGTGTGTATATGTGTACAGTGCCTTGCGAAAGTATTCGGCCCCCTTGAACTTTGCGACCTTTTGCCACATTTCAGGCTTCAAACATAAAGATATAAAACTGTAAGTTGTTGTGAAGAATCAACAACAAGTGGGACACAATCATGAAGTGGAACGAAATTTATTGGATATTTCAAACTTTTTTAACAAATAAAAAACTGAAAAATTGGCCGTGCAAAATTATTCAGCCCCCTTAAGTTAATACTTTGTAGCGCCACCTTTTGCTGCGATTACAGCTGTAAGTCACTTGGGGTATGTCTCTATCAGTTTTGCACATCGAGAGACTGAAATATTTGCCCATTCCTCCTTGCAAAACAGCTCGAGCTCAGTGAGGTTGGATGGAGAGCGTTTGTGAACAGCAGTTTTCAGTTCTTTCCAAAGATTCTCGATTGGATTGAGGTCTGGACTTTGACTTGGCCATTCTAACACCTGGATATGTGTATTTGTGAACCATTCCATTGTAGATTTTGCTTTATGTCTTGGATCATTGTCTTGTTGGAAGACAAATCTCCGTCCCAGTACTCAGGTCTTTTGCAGACTCCATCAGGTTTCCTTCCAGAATAGTCCTGTATTTGGCTCCATCCATCTTCCCATCAATTTTAACCATCTTCCCTGTCCCTGCTGAAGAAAAGCAGGCCCAAACCATGATGCTGCCACCACCATGGTTGACAGTGGGGATGGTGTGTTCAGGGTGATGAGCTGTGTTGCTTTTACGACAAACATAATGTTTTGCATTGTTGCCAAAAAGTTCGATTTTGGTTTCATCTGACCAGAGCACCTTCTTCCACATGTTTGGTGCGTCTCCCAGGTGGCTTGTGGCAAACTTTAAACGACACTTTTTATGGATATCTTTAAGAAATGGCTTTCTTCTTGCCACTCTTCCATAAAGGCCAGATTTGTGCAGTATACGACTGATTGTTGTCCTATGGACAGAGTCTCCCACCTCAGCTGTAGATCTCTGCAGTTCATCCAGAGTGATCATGGGCCTCTTGGCTGCATCTCTGATCAGTCTTCTCCTTGTATGAGCTGAAAGTTTAGAGGGACGGCCAGGTCTTGGTAGATTTGCAGTGGTCTGATACTCCTTCCATTTCAATATTATCGCTTGCACAGTGCTCCTTGGGATGTTTAAAGCTTGGGAAATCTTTTTGTATCCAAATCCGGCTTTAAACTTCTCGGGGCTGAATAATTTTGCACGGCCAATTTTTCAGTTTTTTATTTGTTAAAAACGTTTGAAATATCCAATAAATTTCGTTCCACTTCATGATTGTGTCCCACTTGTTGTTGATTCTTCACAAAAAATTACAGTTTTATATCTTTATGTTTGAAGCCTGAAATGTGGCAAAAGGTCGCAAAGTTCAAGGGGGCCGAATACTTTCGCAAGGCACTGTATATACACACTAATGTGGGCTATTTAGAGTCGCCAATCAACCTAACCTACATGTCTTTGGACTATGGGAGGAACCCAAAGAGAACCTATGCGAGCGCAGGGAAAACAAGCAAACTCTGCCCTGAACCTGGAACATTCTTGTTGTGAGGCAACAGCGCTAATCATTGCGCCACCGTGCTGCCCTCTCAGTGATATACAACATATTTAGAAAAAATATACAGGATATGAAGTCCTAGTTTCTAAGAACTCATTTAAGCTGTAAGATATCTCAAAAGACATTCATCTAGCTGCCCATTTATCTTCAAGAGTACTTGATGATTAACTCACCAAAATTGTTTTCCATTTTGTCTGGTCTTTTATTTTTTCATGGCTGAGTTATGACCAACTGGACACAACCCACTGCTTTCCAGAGGTCAGAGTGGATGAGGTCTATGCCAGGTAAAAAAAAAAGAAAGAGAAGTTATCAAGAATACTTTCCTGCCAGTCTGTACTGCTTAGACTGAGTGTAATGAAACAACACATCTTGCAGCAGCTTATCTTTTGTTGGTCTAAAAATGTTGCCTAACTGGTTTTACTCACATGAACGTTTAACTTGTTTGAACATGTGAACACCCTACCAGTCTATGCAGGGAAAACAGCATACCAATGTTTAGTTAGGACACATTTAAGTTGGTTCTACCTGTGTGGAGCATAGAAGCTAAAAGCAGCTTCACCCTGTTTGGTTCCTACCTGAGGTTCTTCAAGGAGATCAGAACTGTATCTTGGACCGAGACTACTGAGTGATTTACTTAATAACCTAGCACTTTAAAGTTGTACATAACTGATAGTCAGTGTAGGGATTTAAGAGCAAGAGTGATGTGCTCAGTCCTGGTTCTGGTTAAAACTCTGGCAGCAGTGTTCTGACTGAGCTGAAGTTGTCTAACGGTCTTTTTGGGAAGACCAGAAAAAAAGGCTGCCACAATAGTCCAGCCTGCTGGAGATGAAGGCATGAATGAATTTCTTAAACTTTGTCTCGACATGAAACCTCTGGATCTTTCTGTTTAAGATGATAAAAAGCTCATTTAGTTTTGGCCTTTATGTGACTGATGAGGCTTAGGTCTGAGTCAATTACGACCCCAAGATTTCTAACTGCAGCTCTGGATTCAAGCTGAGCAATAACTTTCAATCTTTCCTTTTTTGCCAAAAGCAATAACTTAATTCTTGTCTTTATTTACCTGAAGGAAATTTGATTGCATCCAGATATTTACTTGCTCTAAACACTGACAGAGTGAGTCTAAGGGACCATAGTCACTTGCTGACAGAGCTAATTAAATCTGCTCAGTTTCTCCAGTAAAGTCCTCATAGATAAAGAATTGTGCTCACTGACACAACCAACATATTGAACCATACCAGAATGAATGCATTTGTTTCCATCCTAAATTTGCAGCTTACCATAATAAAAAGAAAGTGGAGGGGAAAAAATCCATTCTAATCAGGTTCCTTTGCAGCCCCATGGCAATACAAAGTGGAAAAACTAGTCTAAATCAAATGGTTGCTAGCACTTTGGAATGAATTAAATCAAAAACAAAGATACAATGAATCTGTGTGTATTTTACATAAATATACTTCATTTAATTACAAAAATGTAATATATCCAAAGATGCCACCATAATTATTCTGACAGACACATAATGGTTTTGGGTCTCTGTAGAAAATGGCATCATTTTAAATCCACAGCCTAAATTAGCATTCAATGGATTGTGAAATTATGAACCTGTCTTTCAGGCAGCCAAGTGGAATAGACTTATGTAAATGCTGTATGTATGCAGAGTTAATATTTGATATTAGGCTCGTAGTTTGCCACTCCCCAGAAGTAATCTCTACATTCAGCACAGCAGACAGTGGGTGATCAATGGGCCCCTGGTCACAGACATGTCAAAAGTCTCAACCCCCTTCTACATAAGAGCCAAACCTTCAGGCTGACAGACACGCAGTGTGACATGGTTGCACAGTCATGTTGTTTGTACTTTCTACTGTATATGCTTCAGGTGAGAGTGATCCTTCAAGGGCCAGGGTATGACTGCTTATCCAACAGATTGGACATCTCTATCCAGGACAGGTCCCACTGCACCTCTGTCACGTCCTCGCTTGGTTGCAGGAAACGCCACTGCTGGTGCATCCTGTTTGCAAACTGGCCAACAATGATCCACTTTGAAGAGCTTGATGAAGAGAACAAATATTGAATGTGTCAGGATCAGTAACAAAGGCATACCAGAACCTACATCATAGCTGTCACACAAAGAAGAAAAGAAATGGCATGATTCAAAAAGTGGACACTAGTTAAAAAAAAAATCACCTGAAAACTGCTCGTAATATTCCCTTTAGATTTGTGTGTGTGTAATAAATATGTACTTTGCACCTCTGCTAAACACACTTTTAGACAGTTGACAGCTTCAGCACTTATACTGTGTCAGGGTTGGCCAGTACAGCTACCCACAATGTTAATCATGAACTCAAATATAAAGCCAGGCGAGATAGAGTAAATAATATCACTTTTAATGCACTCACTCAGAAAATACAAAGTGACAGTCCAGAAACCATAATCCAAGCCACACAACAGTCCAGAGTCAATACTGGCAAACGAACACAGCCAATGGATCCAAAATGGGAGAGCAAAGAAGCCGGTCCAGTAGTCAGTACACAAAATAAACATACAACATTGAGGATAGCTAGGCAGAAATCGGTGGTCAGGAAACAATCCGGGGTCTATAACATGAATCACTAAAGCAAGGAAAGTCTGCACAGAGTCAAGAACGATATGGCAGGTTACTGGTGGGAGAAGGCTGCTAATAAAGGGGTGAAAACAGGTGTAGGCAATGAGCACTGATTACAATAAAGAGTCCATAACAGAGATGAACCTAGATCAGGAAGTGGCAACAAAATAAGACCCTGAAACAGGAAGCAGTAGGACAGAACCCTGACAATACTGTAGGTTCTCACTTATATAGTCTTTGTTTCATGCATGCTGAGGTCAGTTTGCTCTACAGGGGGTCACAGGTTTTTTAAGATATAAAAAAAAGATATTAAAAATGTAAAGTATAACTATACATTATGTACATAATATTTACATACAAGTATATTTGTGTGCTATATATACCATTAGTTCATAATAAAATACTAAAATTTTGTTCAAAAAGAATGAGACAATCCACATCAGTGACAAGTTTGCACATTTTAATAATTACTGGTTGCTAACTACTGAAAGGACCTTGGTGATATTTACACTACTTGTGCATTGTGACTGTTGTGCCTAATGCAAATACAGTGATATGCCTAAAAAAGTGATTACCTCTGTGACTTCAGGTTGGGTGATGGACAAGTCCACCTCCGAGCCCCCGGTCTCTGCTTCCTCATCGGAAGACGTGACGCTGGGGTTGATGAGATCCTCGAAGTATTCCTTCCACCACCCGACGATGTCCCCAGTTGAGGTCAACAGCTGCCCACCTCCACTGTAAACAGTTTTGGTTTGCCAGAATTTCTTTAAGGCCAACTGATAGTCCCTCTCCATGGCTTCAGCGAACTCTTCCCAGACCTGAGTTTTTGCCTCCACAACCACCCGGCTGCAGTCCGCTTGGCCTGCCAGTACCCCTCAGCTGCCTCCGGGGTCCCACGATACAACCAGGCTCGAAAGGTCTCCTTCTTCAGCTTGACGGCATCCCTTACTTCCGGTGTCCACCACCGAGTTTGGGGATTGCTGCCGAGACAGGCACTGGAGACCTTGTGAGAGCAGACCTTGGTCAGCTCTCACTGATAACCAGCTCTCTGGACTCTCCATCTTTCTGTCCTGGGACACACACTTGTAGAGGCCTTCATCTTTCTGTGTCACATTCTCAATAGTCCTTTTTATTACTCCATCTGAACTGGAAGAACTGGAAGTGTGGATTTCTCCTTTAAAGAAGGTTGTTTTATTGCAGTTGCCTGTCTGGTACTGACAAAACAAGACCAATTTATCCCCCTTAAATACAGGGAAAGCAGAAGTCTTCAAGATGATGTTGCCATCTGTGGGACAAAGATGGTAGATATGATGAATGCCTCAGCCCTTGTTATCTCATTTGTTTTCACTCATACATCATATTTGAACCTTCAGTCTGTGATTTTTGATACATTGTGGAGCAACACTTTCTCTGTCTGAACCACGTTTTGCTTTCTTTGGTAATTTCTTCTTCAACCACTGTCTTTAACATCAATGTTACACAAGACTCACAGCTTACTGTGATGGTGACTGCGTTGCTGCGGCCCTCGGCATCGTCACACCAGTACAGTCCACTGCTTCTGCTGGCAGCTATGAAGACAAATGCATCAGACTTATTTGCACTAACAGCATCCCCTAGTGACGAATAGTGGTCAGTGAAGCCTGCGCTCCCCGTGGTACCTGTGTACAGGCCTTTATCTTCCTGTGTTGCATTCTCAGTAGCCCTCTTTATTACTCCACCCAAAGTGGAAAAACTGTAAGTATTGGTTTCACACCAGTCTGGACAAAAATGCACCAATGTCCAGCCTGAGGATTTAGTCTCAGAAGCAGGGCACTGCACTGTGAAATGCCCCCCACTGAACATCTGTCTGGTGCTGGGAGTCAGTCAGTGAGGGCTGGGGCAGCTCTAGAGGAGAATCATAGACAAAGAGAAAGAGACAGAGGGAGTAAAGCAGAATCAGAGGTGTGCGTTTTTCAAACTGTTGCACTTTCCTAGTTTTACAAATGGCTCTGTATTTATGTTTCAGTGCAGCTGATTATTGTAAAAGCACGGGCTATTTTATATGTGTAATGATCTCATGGGACTATTACTGATGTAACTACATATCCTGAGAAAATACATTACAATCATCACACCACTATATGTTTATATTACTGCAACAACTGTCTTCACTGCAGCAATGGAGAATAAAAAAGATGAAGATCACCATGTACTCTGACACTCACTCACCAGAAGCAGCACAGCAACCTATCAGGTATTGTAGAGTGAATGCTGCAAAGGTTTGTCTCAGAGGATGTAATGCCCTTTCCACCTTAAACAACAGGCTTTTGTTACTTACATATAGTTTGCCATGAAATTTGGTACAGCCATTCATGTTCAATGAATTAATTCCACGAATACTGAGAATACAGTATATTCCTTCAGTTCGTAAACACAGCACAGATCATAAAAAAAATTCTAAACATGATTGAAAAGAACATGACTTCTGACAATTAGTATTAACCATGTTAGAGAATAGATAAATATGATGTCTTCTGTTTTAAACTTTGAGGTCAAACTAATATATTGCTGTGTCAGTCCTGAACTACACAATGTTCCACTTGTGTGTGCTGTTCTGTGCAGGAGAAACCTGATGCCATGCTGCAGAGGCTGTAGCTACTGCTCACCTGATACACTGAGCGTAACTGGCTGGGCGACTATGATCTTGTTGTCCCAGCACTCATCTTGGCACCAGTACTTGTCTGTGTCCTCCCGCGTTACCTCAGTGATGAAGTAGCTGTTACCAGTGACCAGGTGCCTGGGGTTTGGTTTGGACCTGTACCACTGGTAGCTCTTTACAGAAGTGGAGTGTGACTTAACTGTGCACTGCAGCAATATGTACTCACCAAGGTAGATGTTTGACCCTGGAGGCCATACAGACACTCTGACCTCCTGAGACTCTGCAGAAACAGGGAAACTCCATTATGGTCTTTCTCATGCTTGTGTCAAATAGTGTAAGACAGGTTCATATTCTTTCTTCACGTGTTTGTCACCCCTGCCAATACTTTTAGATGTAACATCTTGGAGAAACAAATGTGGCTACATCTGCAATAGAGAAAAATGACTGTAAACAAACACTTCACAAGACACATGTCTCCTCATATTCTTATATTCTACCACAGCTTGTCCCTGCCACATCAGTGACATTTTGGGCACAGTGTGTTTAGTTTGCAGTCTGCTATGCCAATCAGAAGTAAAATGCATTAGCATGAGCACAACAGGCAGCTCAGATGGCTTGTTCTCCCATGGCAGCATGCCAGACAGTCGTCATGCTCCACTGCTGATTTTCGATTATATAACCAAGACAATATGAAATTTCAGAGCTGTACAGGCAGAGTTAATACAAGGAACACCAGCAAACTAGACATAACAACAATCCTTCATTCTGCTAAGACACAGACTATCTGAGCTAAATTTTGTACCTAACACACACAGTCATTGTTCTCCACAGTGTAAGAGAGAGAGAGAGAGGAGCTTCCTATTTCTTGATGAGACTGTTTAGACACTAATCACACCCATGGGAATAGAAGGAATGTCCATAAGTGTTCTGTATTTTTCTGTGAGACATCCATATCATTACCACACATCAAGCAGTGTAACTACTACAGTCACACAGTTTTAACATGGCTATCAAGGATGGAAGACCAAACACAAAAAGTTGGCAGCCTTGACCAAATCTTTTCCCTTAGCCCTATTCAGATTCCGGCTGGCGCACATCATTTTAATTTAGCACAGGCTGAAACTGCCAGCTGCAGGCTGACAGCCCATTACAATTTATAACAACCCTGCTTACCATACTACTGATATTTGCATCACTTTGAGCGTATATCAGCTCTGCTTTGACAGCTGAATGCAGGCTCTTCATAAAATACTTGGATGATGTTTTGCCCACCTGTAGACAATTCTTAAAATGAGATCACACTGATTTTATTTCTTTATTTGTTTTTACATGAGCTTCCATAAGTCTGCCTGATGGAACGTGTCAGTCAGTCAGTCAGGTTTGCGCTGTGATGCAGTGAGGAGATGATGACGAAGTTCATTCTGTCGAGGATTGAATGTCCAGATTTAGAATGTCCAACCCCTCATAAACAAGAGAGAAAATGACAATAATTATGATTCAGAGATATCCACCACTTCAAATGAAGTGAATTTCAGAAGTCCAGTGATGTTTTGCAGAGCATGTTTTTATTTAAGACACTATGAGACAAACAGTAACAGCACCTCCTATGAGGCGAAGCCATCAACAGCATCCAGGATCATAAGGCAGGTGGTGATTTAAGAGATGATGATTTAAAGTTTCCCTTTAAACAATCTCTGCTTCCCTGATGATACTGTAATCACCAGCATCATTTGTTGCACATGTGACTTCCCGATCCCAATCAATGTGCAGTGTTACCTATATTTTCGCATATTTCTTAGTTTTTGTACATCCTGTCAGTGCATTTCACATTTTTACTAGTGCTTTTCTACTTGTTCAGGGTGTTGATTGTCTTTTATTGTCCCTTGTTTGATCGAACCCTCTTTTCTTCTCAGCACTTGCTGAAGTTGATTTTCTTTGCGGAGCATTTCTTTTTTATTCAGTTTCATCCAATCAGTTGCAATCAGATAAAGTTTTGAGGGGAAAGACAATACAATTGGAAAATAATTCCTCCTATAAACATTATAACATAGTGCAAAAAGCAGTAATGCAGTGTATGGTTGCTCTTTAAAATGGTCAGGTTCAAATACACCCGTTAGCATACTGTTAGCTCAAACTACAATTTCTTGTTTTATTCAGGGTTTATTGATTTTTCCCCGGTAGAACAATGAGCTGTACAAGCTCCAGAATTACTGCTGAAAAGCAAGTATCGCTCCTCATAATCTTAAGTAGTAAACATAATTGGTTTAGTTGGGGTTTTCGGTGCACCGCATCAACATTCACAGCCAAACTACACTGTATTTTCAGTGAAATTGAAACTTGCATGTGTTCTGTGCTTTCTCGGGTAACTACAGCTGTATCTTTAGCCCTCAATGATCTCCTCCTCCTCGTGCCTCCCTCCACCTCCCGTCGCTCCCACATCTAGCCTCCCGACATCCACAGGGTTTCAT